AAGATTATGGGGAAACTTGAATGCAGCTTATGGGAAACCCCAGTGGTGCAGTGTGTGGGAGGGCGTGGTGTGAGCTGCAGTGCTGCAGAGGAGGGCAACGTGTCCCCAGACATCCCTCTCACCACGTCCCAGTTAATGGTAAATGAGTAAGCCGTGCCTGCCAGGGAGCATCTCTCATGGTCCCTGCCGGCCTCTCTGGCTGCATGTTTCCCTCTGCCTTGACTGGTGGATGTGATGTGTGCACCTGTCCCAGGCTGCAGCCACAGTGACTCCCTTAGTGATGGACCGTGCCCTGGAGCTGTGGGCCCAATAAACCTCCAGGCCCTACGTTGTTTCTGGCTAAAGTGTTTTGTCATGGCGTCAGAACAGAAACTAGGACACACTGCTAGTGTGACGTACAACAACGTGACGGAGCCCAGCATGGAGACTCTTGGCTATGCAGTGTGCGACCAGTGTGGTGGGTCATGAGTATAGTAAGAGGTCTTAGGATGCACAAGGACCAAACTTAACTCGAGTTCAAAAGGTGTAGTGCAGTTAACGCTGCTGGCAGTGCAGGCTCGCCTTTGTCATGGGACATCACTGCAGCCTCCGTCCTGAGCACTCTGTTCACGCCACTCTGTATCCAGGGAACAACGCTTGAAATTTCCCAGCTCAGCTCTGATGCTGCCGCATGTTAGGAATCGCGGCGTTTGATTGGACATGGTGTTTTGTGCTCTTACAGAGACATGGTTTGATTACAGAAGGTACAGACAGCATTTCCTCATGCCTAAGTGTACTGCATTATATTAGAATGTGTGATTTTAAAGTTCATATTGGAAAGGCTGAAGAGATAGCTCAGCAGTCGAGAGCACCGGCTGCTCTTGTGGAGGACCTGGATTCAGTTCCCAGCACCTCATGCCGGCTCACAACTGTCTCTAATTCCAGTTCCAGGGATCTGATGCCCTCTCCTGGCCTCCAACAGCACCAAACACACGTGTGGTTTACGGATACACATGCAGGCACTCACACAAAATAGAAATAAAAATCTTAAAACTTGGTATTTGAGTTGCTGACTTGACTGCTCCAGTTTAGGATTTAGTGGGTTAGTAGAGCCCTTGCCTAGAACACATGAAGCCCTGAATTTCCTGGTCAGCCCTGCCTGAAGCAGGGATTGCTACAGAGCAAGTTCAAGGCCAGCCCGGGCTACTTGTGAGACCCTGTTTCGAAAAACAAGCACAACAAATTGCTGAACGGACTGAGGTGCGGGATTAGGTCACAGTTCCCGAAATGACCTGGAGCATGCTTCTGTGATTCTGTGCCGTGGATTTATAGGAGTGGCATCTGCAATGTAGATGACGAATCAAACTCTCAGTAACTATGAAAAACGCCGAAGATGCTCTGCGTTCTTCAGGATCAAACACTTGGCTGAGACTTAGTCACCCCACCCTGTGTGTGTTTTGAGAGGGGTTTTCAGAGGGGTAGCTCTGTAGTCCAGGGTGGCCTTGAACTTGCTATGTGGGTAAGGATGACCTTGAACTCCTGGTCCTTGTGTCTCTACTTCTCAATTACTAGGATTACAGGCACGGACCACCACACCAGACAAAGTATAATTCTTTGACATAGCATATTTATAGGCAATTTTTTTAAATCTATAATAAGTGGTAAAATTCTATACATATACCAAATAATGGATTTTAAATAAATTATTAATATTTTATTAGTAGTATTTGATTTGAATACCTGTTTTAGACACCAAAAGCCCAAGGCCATGTAAAAATATCCTGGGTGGGCCAGGTTTAATCCCAGCACACCTTTAATCCCAGCACCTGGGAGGCAGAGACAGGGGGATCTCTGAGTTCTAGGCCAGCCTGGTCTACATTATATGTGTGTGTGCATGTGTGAGGGCTAGTGTCCATGAAGCCCAGAGGAGAGTATCAGGTCCCCTGGAGCTGGGGTTTCAGGAGCTGCTGGAGTTGAAGTCGGGTCTCCTGGAAGAGCAGCAAACGCTCAACCACTGAGCCATCTCTCCAGCCACCCTGCACCCCGGTCCTTTAGTGGCCTTGTGTGAACAGTAAAGAAACTAGATGACTAGTGATAAATAGACACAGGTAAAGTCCCGTGACTGTTCATGCCGTCTCTTCAGCCCCTCTTCCCCTTTTTTAAAAACAACCTAAATTGACATAGGAGGGATGGTGGGCTCATAGCGTGGGCTACCTGCAGGAATGAAAGTATGTCACACACGGAGCACACACATCTGTGGAGTGGTCGCTGACACTGCAGAACACTGCTGCTTTACATGGCTGAAACTGTTTCCATTTGCCGGAGACAGCGACAATGGGAAACACCCGGCTAAGAATCAGATTCTTATTTTCAGTAGGGAAGTCAAGTAGCATGGAGGTGGCAAGATGGAGCTTGTCCCCTGTTGCATGAATAATAAAAACCCAGAGACAGATATCGGAGTTCAAGATGAAGATCAGAAAAGCAAAGCAGCCAGTCATTGGCTCTAACCTCTACCTCAGACCAAAAATGGGTGATTCTGCCTCCAGGAATCCTCAGATTCAGACTGAGACTGGGCTGAGATCTGTCTCCTCCTATTTTATATCCCTCTCTAGTGCTGGGATTAAAATCATGCACCACCCCCACCTGGCCTCTATGGCTACCTAGTGTGGCTGCTGGGATTAAAGGTGTGTGCCACCACTGCCTGGCCTCTATGGCTGGCAAACATGGCTGCTTTGCTCTGATATTCAAGCAAGCTTTATTTATTAATAGAGTCTCTCCTGTTAGTATTGGGAACAGGAAGCTTGGTCCTGGAAAGGAACTCAGGGTCAGTGTACTGGTTGGTAGGAGTGGCTTTTGCAGATCTTCATCATCCCCAGAGATCTGGTGTTTCCTGAGTCAGCCCTTACTCAGTCCCACGAGGCAGATGTCTAAAGCTATAGGACAAGAGTCATGAGTAGTCAGTATAAAGATGTCTCAGAGTTCCTCCATGACTCAAAATATCTAAATCTGAGAGGCCTTGGGACCCAGACCTATCCTGTGTATCTCAGCCCCATTCCCAGGCCCCCAATGTGTCATGTTTTTAAACCTCCAGAGACAAGACAGAGCTCTAGGCACTGTCCCTGCCTGCAGAAGAAGAAATGACAAGGTGTAGTTGGAGGCCTCTTGTTTGTTCCCGGCTGCCCAGACTCCCAAAATAACCGCACAAAAACTATATTAATTAAATCACTGCTTGGCCAATTACTTAAGCATACAGCTAGCTAGCTCTTACATCTAGAATTAACCCATCTCCATTATTTTATATTTTATCACAAGGCTCCTGGCCAACTAGTAAGGTTCTGTCTCCCACAGAGGCTCCATGGCTTCCCTGACTCCACCTCCTTTCTTCCAGCATTCAGTTTTGTTTTCCCCACCTAGCTTAATTCTACCCTATCATGGGCTCAAGATAGTTTCTTTATTAAGCAATGGTATTCACAGCATACAGAGGGGAATCCTCATCAACAAGACACATTCAGGAGACTGAGAGGCTGTGGCTGGAGGAGGAATTAGGGGCTCCCCACCAGCTCCAGCTCCACCCCAAGAGCCCCAGGGACAATCCTGCTCCCCCCACACTTACCTACAACATGATAATAGCCTCCTTTTCCACCTGTGAGAAGAAAAGCTGTGAGACCAGGGAAGTCTCTGACCCTAGGAAGTTTCCAGAACTGACAGGAGACCCAGGTTAGAAACAGCAGCAATGAGGGGTGTGGATGTGTTTCCCATTAATGAGGCAGAGCACACTTCTAAAAGGGGCTGAGAGAGAACTCAGACCCTGCCCTTTCCTACCTGTGTTTCTCCTCCTCTTCATCACAACAGCCACCACAGCTCCAATGATCACAGCTCCAAGGAGAACCAGACCAGCAATGACTGCTGCCATGATGGGGACCGTGGACTGAGGAGGCTCTGGGAAGGGAAGGGCGGGAAGGGAAGATGAGGGTCATGACCCAGTTCTCAGCCCTGACTCTGCTCAGGGTCTATAGAAGGCTCCAGCTTTCCCTGACCCCAGCTCTGCACCCTCTCCCTCCTTACCCCATCTCAGGGTGAGGGGCTCAGGCAGCCCCTCATGGTGCACATGGCATGTGTATTTGTGCTCCTCCCCAGAAGGAACCACCAGAGATGCCCACTTCTGGAAGGTTCCATCTCCAGAAGGTCTGGTCTCCACCAGCTCCATGTCCTGAGTCTGTTCCTCTTCCTCCCTCTGCCAGATCAGGGCGATGTCAGCAGGGTAGAAGCCCCGGGCCCAGCACCTCAGGGTGACATCATCTTTAGGTCCAGGATGATGGGCCACATGTGCCTTTGGGGGGTCTGAGGAAAAGAGTTGTGAAGATGAAACATCTTGCTTTCTTCTAGGGTCTCAACAGTGTCCATGTGACCATTCTGGGAATGGACTGGGGAACTGGGGTGGGATTAGGGTGTCCTGATATTAGTAGACCCCAGCTAGAGCTCAGGCCCCGGGGTCATGTGCTCTTCGGGATGCTCTAAGATGTGAGTGACAGTTTGGGGTAGGAGGCTTCAGGGCTCTGCAGACTGATGGAGGGGAAGAGATTCTGGTCCTGAGCTGAGTGAGGGCCAGGAGACTCAGAAAAGCTGGAGTCAGACTCCAGAGACACCGAGGGTGACCACAGAAGGAGGCCTGAGAGAAAAAGCTCCTGTGGTCCATCTTCAAGACTGACCTGCTGTATAAGGGTTAGTCTCCCAATGGTAAAAGCAGCCTGGAGTCTCCCTGTCCTTATTCCTCAGCCCAGTGCCTGCTGGACAGTGTTCTTCCTCTGAGGATGCCCAAGCCTTTCTCCCACACTACCAAGGAAAAGCGAGGATTGGTCTCCAGGTACCTGAGCGCAGCAGGGTCGCGTTCCCCAGCTGCAGGTATCTATGGAGCCAGTGTATGCAGAGGCCCTGCAGGTATGCTCTCTGGTGGTCAGCCTCCTCTGCCTTCTCTGACTTGCGCTTAGAGATCTGAGAGGCCGCGTCAGTTGCGGTCCAGGAGCGCAGGTCCTCGTTCAGGGAGATATAATCCCGGCCATCATAGGCCTCCTGACAGTACCCACGGAGCAGGCGTCCATCTGGACCCAGGTCACAGCCATACATCCACTGCAGAGTGTGAGGTTCTGGTGGGGACACAGTGGTTAGCGCCACCTTGCGGCCACCCTGTCACCCCCCCTTCCCCCCCCGGTCAGTGCGTCCTTAATCCGACCTTTCAGATCAAAAGTGAAACAGAAACCTGAGCCAAACTCTGCGGGGGTCTTTCCTGTTTGAGGGTCTGGGCAGGTGTTTGGTTGAAACTTCGACTCAGCGGGTGAAGATGACCCAAGCCTGACTCGGGAGATGGAGGGGGCTGCGGTCACTCACGGTTGTCACTCTGATTGTAGTAGCCAAGCAGGGTCTTGAGGTTCAGTTTGAAGTTCTTCCCTGTGTTCCTGGCTTTCTGCGTCTCCCTATCCCAATACTCCGGCTCCTCCTGCGTCATCCATGGTGCCCTCGGCTCCATCCTCGGTGTCTCCGCGTCGCTGTCGAAGCGCACGAACTGCGTGTCGTCCACGTAGCCGACGGCGATGAACCGGGGCTCCCCGAGGCCGGGCCGGGACACAGCGGTGTAGAAATACCGCAGGGAGTGCGAGCCTGGGGGAGGCCAGCAGTGAGACACCGACCCTCATCCAGGGACCAGGGTCCTAGGAGAAGGCAGGGGAGACAAGGACTAGGGCAGTAAAATGACTTTATTGGGTACTGCCCCCACCCGGCTCCCTTCTCCTCCCTTCTCCGTCCCGCAGTCTCCCCACCCCGTACTCACTAGCCTGTGTCTGGACCAGAAGAACTATGGCTCTAACCAACAACTTGAGCCAGGAAGAAGACATTGTCCTCAGTACAAGGGCCTGTGAAGGGTGTAGAAGCGATTCCTGTCAACTGCTCTACTTGTAACCTCTGTGTCACTGATTGGTTTCTCTGGTGTCCAATGAGAGCTGAGTGCATCGTTTGTGTCCGAAAGAGGAACCCGGTGGGAGTTGAAAGTAGAACTGTGTATACGAAAAACAGTGCCGGACATTGTTCTGACGTCTTTAATAAAGAAAATGCTGTCAAAAGTCACTGCATGACCTAGGACTTTAACCGGACCCCTGTGCTCTTCACTCAGGGGCAACTGTCAATGTCCCGGATACTGTGGGAACTTGGCCCCGTACCCAGCCCGGCCAACCCAATACCACCCACTCGCAGAAATAGTCCCCAAAGCAAAACAAAACTCTGACACCCACAGCCTCCTGCGGAATCTCGGACACTGGGATCAGGGGAGATTCAGGACCAGTGGGGTGGGAGGGGGCTTGAGGCATCTTGACTCCCGACCCGGAAATCACTCACCGCCCTGACTGGTTGTAGAGGTGGAGCAAGTTCTGAAGGCAGGTTTGGCAATTCTGTCTGTTCTCCTGTGGGTCCTCAATGCTCCAGCTCCTTCCGCTTGCTCCACTGTGTGTACTCAGGGCTCAAAGTGCTTGAACTCCTTTGTTGTCCGTGTAGCCTGAAGCAATGAAAGCGCTGGAGGGGGCAGGATGGCAGGACATAGCTGTGACAAAATAGGGAAGCAGAGCCTGGGAGCAGCACAGTGAGATCCGGACCATCCTAGCTAGACAAACCTGGAAGAAAGAGAAAGCAAGATGGAAATCACCAGGTTTTTATACTTCCCAAACCAAACCACACCTTTATGCTCTCAGAACCTGAAAGCCACTTCTGAGGACTTGGGACTTTGTCCTCACTCAATAAACCTAGGTCTCTCTCTCTCTCTCTCTTTATTATTGAGTTTTATTGAGTTCTACAGTTTCCTTTACTCCCCTTCCTGCCTCTCCCCTCCCCTTCAACCCAACCCTCTGCCAAGCTTCCCATGCTCCCAATTTACTCAGGAGATTTTCTTTTTCTACTTCCCATGTAGATTAGATCTATGTAAGTATCTTAGTGTCCACATTGTTGTCTAAGTTCTCTGGTATTGTGATTTGTAGGTTGGTTTATTTTGCTTTATGTTTAAAAACCTCCTATGAGTGAGTACATGTGATAATTGTGTCTGGATCTGGGTTACCTCACTCAAAATGTTTTCTATCTCCATTCATTTACCTGCAAATTTCAAGCTGTCGCTATTTTTTTTCTGCTGTGTAGTATTCCATTGTGTAAATATACCACATTTTTCTTATCCATTCTTTGGTCGAGGGGCATTTAGGTTGTTTCCAGGTTCTGGCTATGACAAACAAGGCTGCTATGAACATAGTTGAGCACATGTCCTTGTGGCACAATTGAGCTTCCTTTGGGTATATACCCCAAAGTGGTATTACTGGGTCTTGAGGAAGGTTGTTTCTTAATTTTCTGAGAAATCACTATACTGACAAGCAAGGGGTTGTACCAGCTTGCATTCCCACCAGCAATGCAGAAGTGTTTCCTTTACCCCACTGTAGGAACCTGCTCCTGCAAGGTCAGCTAGGGTCTCTGGATAAGGAATCCTCGAGGCCAAAGAAAACCCAGAAGAAACAGAAGACAGGATAGAATTGGGAGGTCTGTCTGGTTGTGCGGAAGCAGCCAAACAGCCCAGAGTTTATTTCAGAACTTGCTTATATAGAAAAGCAGAATAAAGCACAGCACAGATGTCAGTCAGTGTCTAACCACAAGACCATTCCTGCCCTTGAGTGAGCAGCCTCCTCTCCAACAGGTGTTTGCTGCTAGGTAGCAGCCTTACATTCTATCGTGATGTTCCTGAGGTTTGACATCAGCAGTATATGGTCTGTTAGATAGAGTGTTCTCTTCTCACGGACTAAATCAGAAGTCTCTCACAGCCCTCAAGGTTATAGGAAAAAGTAGAGCAGGCAAGCTTGAACTCAAATGGACTCCAGATGGAAACACATGGTCTCCCACATCCTACATCCTCTCCAGCATTAGTTGTCATCAGTGTTTTTGATCTTGGCCATTCTTACAGGTGTAAGACGGAATCTCAGAGTTATTTAGATTTGCCTTTCTCTGATGACTAAGGATGTTGAGCATTTCCTTAAGTGTCTTTCAGCTATTTTAGATTCCTCTGTTGAGAGTTCTCTGTTTAGGTCTGTACTTCATTTTTTTATTGGATTATTCGTTCTTTTCTTGAGTTCTTTGTATATTTTGGAGATCAGACCTCAGATGTGGGGGTGGTGAAGATCTTTTCCCATTCTGTAGGCTGTTGTTTTGTCTTGAAAGCCGTGTCCTTTGCTTTATAGAAGCTTTTCAGTTTCAGGAGGTCCCATTTATTAATTGTTGCTTAGTGTCTGTGCTACTGGGATTATATTTAGGAAGTGGTTCCCTGTGCCAATGCATTCAAGTGTACTTCTCACTTTCTCTTCTATGATATTCAGTGTAGCTGGCTTTATGTTGAGGTCTTTGATCCATTTGGACTTGAGTTTTGTGCATTGTGATATATGGTCTATTTTCATTCTTCTACATGTTAATATCCAGTTATGCCAGCACCATTTGTTAAATATTCTTTTTTTTCATTTGATATTTTTTGCTTCTTTGTCAAAAATCAGGTGTTCGAAGGAGTGTGGATTAATATCAGGTTCTTTGATTCAGTTCCATTGGTCCTCCTGTCTGTTTTTATGCCAATACCAGGCTGTTTTCAGTCCTGTAGCTGTGTAGTAGAGTTTGAAGTTAGGGATTGTGATGCCTCCAGAAGTTCTTTTATTGTACTGGATTGTTTTGGCTATCCTGGATTTTTTGCTTTTCCATATGAAGTTGAGTGTCGTTCTTTCGAGGTCTTTGAAGAATAAAGCTAGGTCTCTGTATGATTATGTAATGCATGATTTAAAAATGGGACAACTAATTGAAGGAATAATTAACTGG